CCGGGCTGTTTGTACGAACGAAAAATTAACTATTCTTATCAAGAATATAGAGAAATAGAGTCCATGATTGTCATTAAGAACTTTTCGATGATTTGTTGTCTTCTGTATCGTAGTTTTCGTTCCCAAAAGCTGCCCGGACGGGCCCCGTATGGGAATTGTGACCCCAGCATCAAATATTTCAAAGCGAATGACTGTTGAAAAGACCGATGGATCTTTTTGAAATGCTAGTAGCTTAGAAAAAGATGTATACAACTAATTTACATGATTTGCATAACTAATGCGACAATAGTGTGCTTCCTTATTGGTAAATGATGGGCATTTCATACCTGTGACATGTTTAAGTTAGCTTAAGGGTAACATCATTATGTATATATCATGCCGATGCTTACCTGCATGCACGTGAAGCTCCACCGCCTGTCTTCTTTGTCGTTGTTGTGGTGACTCTGCATCCCTATCATGACGCTGTTAAACGGGCAGAGGAAGTTGAGCTCCATGTCGTAGTCGTTCTGGTAGTTGGAGTTCCAAGTGGAGCCTTGTGTGTTGCCTGGAAGGTCACTAGGTATACGTAGTGCGAGAAGGAGCAAGAATGTTGGATCGGATAAGCCCCAGTGTAACACATTGAGAACCTACTCCCGAACACCAGCCAACCACAGCCTACCTGGCTCCCGACCTACTCACAACCATGAAGTTCGGTAGTGTTCGGGAGGTCATATTCGGCGAGAGGGGCTTTAGGTGCTATTACAGCTCTCTATGTACAGTCGTTGGGGTTAAACGAGAAAAAAAAACACATTAATTTTGTTTCTTTGCCAAAAATCAATCACAGGATCCTCTCGAATACTCTGCGTACCTGCATTCAAACATGAACTGCCTGTCCTCAAAGGCATTGTTGTGTTGGCTGTATAAACCCGAAATAGCCTGGTTCTCTCCCGGGCACGTGAAGGTCAAATCTCCGTCATAGGTGTTCTCCCATGACGCACCCACCCACTGCCGCTTGGCGGGCACGCCGTCCCGACATTCCCCGTGCTCGGGGAAGTACAGCAGGAGGAAGACACAGAGCACGGCGATAGTTGCCATCGTGCCTGCATGGTGTGACCTTCAGGGTTTTACTTAAAAGAGTAAAAATTACACAACCACAATTACAGATGCAGGAGTCAATCAGATGCTATTACAACCTTCTATGATGATATTAATTTGTTCGATGTTGAACTGGCCTGACCACGACTTCTCTTTTCATGACTCGGGTCACAGTCCACTAGCAAGAGTTTGTGTACTACCTCATACTTTTTTCTCCAACAGTGGCCTACAAAACGTAGTCTCCTTTGCCGTATTATTTCAGCAATCGGCGGTATGTTTTTGTACAGCTAACGGTTTGAAATTCTTTGTCTCAACTACAGGCGACAGAATATTCAATAATATTGAAGGTGGTCGCCTAGAAGAAGAGTCAAAGTAAGGGGAACGACCTTTATAATTAAACAAATGGTTATCACGCAAAAAGAACGTATAGATGTTTTCTTACACTTCAGCCTCAGTGCGACGTGGTTTTGATTCCCTCTTAGACTTAGTTTTGATATACCAGCTACAATAGTACAATTCCGTTGTTAAAGTACCAATTTACAGAAAAGAAAGAATACTCACCCGTCAGGATCGGAGATATGTACGGTATAAGTAGCTAACACAGCATCGCAGTACCACTATAGTTATACTATATACCACTATGTTTATTTCGTCATCGATCCTGTTTGTTTGTATCGGACATGCGCCATTCAAACATCCCTGTGAACGTTAGAGCCACAGAACATATGCTGGCTGACTGGTTCAAGGAAAGGTCTCCAGGTTTGGACTTTGCGCAAATGTTTGGACATCCTGTTATGAACCTCAGCTAAAATTTGGAAGCGATAAGAACAAACGGGAAAAGTTGATTAATATTCTCTGATACTACCGGTACCAGTCTATATTTTTATTAGATTATATAATGACAAGGACAACGCGGCACTGTACTGAACTTTACCCAACTTATATAGCCTACAGAACACACGACAAAGTCATCAAGTCTTTCATGATCATACCTCTGTATTTTCCATTCTGGATTAGTCGCTAGGGGCGCTTGTACAATGTACAGGTGCACACCAATTGCATCATGGGAAAACCTGAAGCCTATACACAGGAAGGCCCGGATCAGGTACGATATTTTCAGTAGAATAATTTCCCCCCACGGGTAAGCATTAAGTCCTATCTGGATTCCTGTGGCGGCTGTACAATGAAAAATTTGCCGAGTTGGCTGAATAGTTTGTGTCAGAGGAGCAAGATGGCCAGTCTACGGTCAGTGTGCCAGGGTATTTGCAAGGGACGGATGTAGAGCAAGGATGTGAAGAATACCTTTAGTGAAATAAAAGTATAGTGTTTACAAACATCACTGTGACACAGAAAACCGCATCTTTCCGACATTACGTACTCTCTCATCATGATGTCGTATTACACAAAAGAATACACCAGGGATTGATACATGTCATATATCAGACCCTTTTGAGAAAGATTTGCTACTTGAGAAACCATTGATAAGACCCAGTTGTTCCCATCCACTCCCGTCCCGGGCCTTAACGGGCTGCCCTGCCGTCCCCACGGCACCGCGCTAACCGCCCCTATGGGCAGGCAGCTCTGCTCTGGAAAGGGAAGCCCTGCGATATAAGGTTAAACAGGTCCCGCGTGTCCCCCTACGCGTTCCGTATATTTGGCGCGCACCTCATCAGTTCCGACCTACTGTGGCGATCGAGGCCAACAGCGTTCTTGTCCTGTGAAAAGACCAGGTTTAGTGTTACAATTTTACGACTACAGACTGATTTTCTGCTAGCCAAGAAAGCGCTCAAGCCAAATGAGATTGAGGCACTCGGTCTGTAACTTAGTCTAGTATCGTGCTCGATCTGCGCTTGGTGGTGGTGAGAACGGATACATCTGGAAAGGAAAGCGGCCGTTTCTGAATCATCGTCGGTCTGCTGTGTTTCACTTCCCGCCACTACAAACGGACTAGGGTCGTCAAATCGCTTTCCCCTCACAGAAGGCATTCCTACAAGAGACAACCCTCGGAATTTCCCGTGTATTTAAAGCTTACTACTGAGGAGTTACAGGAGCGACAGCACGAAGGCAAAGCTTCAAGGTAAGGCATTTCATTATCATGGCGGATGTGGACCCCATATTTCCATTACTTCAGCTTCCTTCTACTGGCATCACATTGATAGCAGCTTTGAATTGCTTATAGGCTACTAATTAGTCTAAAAATGACATTTTCTAGTAATATGTACACGTTTTAATCTTTATTTGACGATTCAAATGTACGGAACGGTGTTCTTGGTCCGTACCTCTGTAGACCACGTAGGCAGGTGTGAGAGGGACGATCTGGCACGCAAAAGACAAGATGGCGCTGCGCTTATGTCGATAAAACTGCACGAAAAAACTAGGCGGTATCCGGACCAGCATTTGTTTAAAAAAAGGAATTTTAATTCTTAAAATTGTTTTAAAAAATGAATTTTAATTCTTAAAAACTCTGTTCTTTTCGTTCAGAACTGAAGATTTTTTGTTAGATCTGATAGAAAGATACAGATGGATAAGTCGGATCGGGAATTCAGCGAGCGGAAATTGACATGTTTATAATATAAAAAAGACAAACACTGAAAATCCAGCAAAACAACAAAATACTAGTATCGTAATCAGCTTGCAATCCATACACATGATACAGCTATATTTGGTGAATTAAAATGGTTACCCGTAAATTCTAGGAGGAATCATACATATTTGAGGTTTTGTGGCAAGAAATATAATAATTAAGTGTCTTAATTATACCCTACGTAACTAAAACATATAACATAACATAATGAGAGCCCTGAAGACATTCTTACCAGAGGCCAGGCATTACTAATTTCGACATACCACCCAAACCGGTTCACGTATACTTATGCTCCGAAACCGCAATATATCTACTAATATGCATATGACAACATTCTAAAACCAGTTGTCTTTTCGGAACCACACACAGCTCTATTACAGTGAATAATGACTTCAGTTACTGAAAAATAAAAGGATTATAGGGCGATGTAAGGGTTATGTGGGGGTGACCTGTGTTAGTTAGAGGTTCGCCCTACAACCACACCCATCATGTAAAGACCGCTTCGCTTTGTCTGTGCGTAGAAAGAATGGCGATACAATACCATGAATATGACTTCGCATTTCACATAATCAATATATCCTTAGAATTATGAGAACCTAAATAGATGTACATGTGCATGTAGGATGCATTGTATTTTGATGGTGCGGGAGCAATCATAAACACACTAATAACTTGTCCTGTTTTACATTTGAAAATGTGAGCATTATAA